CAGTAGTCCTCTTGGTGCATTTTTTCTTCTGTACTTGCCATTCGGTTACTATGTCCACTCCAAAAGAGAAATGGAGAAGTTGCAGTTAAAAAATAAACACCACACAGCAAAGCAAATAGAAGTGATTTTTAATATCTTCATTTTATTGGTGAACATTTTCGATCCAAGAATCCAAAATTGAAGTCATATGAAAAAAAGAACAGTGCATTAGTCAGTAGGTTGATACAATGACTTCCCCAAAGGGACAAAAGTTTATTGCCTTCTTGTGGTGGTCAGAAAAGCACATAATAGAGTCTCAAGCAGTTTGTACCCCACACGTACTACTCTGTCATCAAGTGGATGCTAACTCATAGTGTCCAAGGCTGTAAATCTTTACAGGAGCAAACAGTCACATTTTTTTTCTACCAAGGAGTGGTTGGTGGTTTAGAACCACCAATCTTATGGTTAACAGTTCAACAAGATGACAATGGCACCCAAGGTACTAGGCGCCAAAAGTACATCTGGACTCCGTAGAACCCACCCAGTTTTCCGTCTCTTTCATCGAACCTCAGGGCTCTCAGCCATGTGACTAGCTAGAAAAGGTCTATGTACGGCAAGGCGTTTTAAGAAATTCAAACTCTTTTGTTATCAAAGTGAGCTGAGTTGTGCCCATGGGAAAAGGCATTAGGAGATGAACTAGTTCGAACACCTGGAGAGAGCCACCCGTTACCACAGTGCACACAAACAACGGTTTGTAAAAATAAGAGCAGACGGAGAGGTCCCTTGATCATCATGTTCTTCCTCCATCTTCTGCAGAAATACAATCAGAGACTACCATGCAACCCCCAAATAATTTTATTGAAATGATTTATAGAATTAAATGAATTGAAAATATATAATAAGTTCGATATATAGCTTGACTATATAAATTGAGAGTCTTGTACAATTCTAATCTTTTGAAAACTAATACCCAGATTACTTGTGATCACTAGATGGTAGAGAATCTGTTCAAAGCACACCTGTTGCTATGGAATCTATTCCAACTTGTAGGCACCCTACACAGGGCTGCCAAGGCCGGAAAGCCTTAAGAGATCAGATAGCCTTATTTCTCTCCCTCTGAGCAGCTGGTAGGTTTGAAGCACTAACCTTGGGGTTAGCAGCCCAACGCTTACCCCGTGAGGGTTGTTGGACCTTCAAAATATGTGACAAAAACTAGAAAACCCTCTCCTTGACACAGTCCAGCATGTGTTTTTTATTTTCCACTATGCTGAGTCCTTTTCTCTTTCCATGCAAAAGAACTATGTACCATCCTGGTAAGGTGAATGCAAAGTGAGTGAAAGGTAAGAGAAAGGAGAACATGCAGAAAATTATTTTTGGGGGGAAGCAATTTACAATGGACACATTTGTAAGGATGCACTATTCTCAATTACTTTTCTTTAAAGTGCAAATACACATGTGAGTCTTCTATTTTTTGTTTCATACTTTCAACCAATTAGGGGACAAGCATCGAAGGTTTGCTAGACGGAATGGCATTCAGCCTACATCGGAGATTTCCAAAGGAATGAAGGACGTTCTAAACCACAGCACTTGAATGTGCAAAGGAGGAGACACAAAAAGTAAGTTTTTCCATTAAAACACATATTTGCTTAATTTAGCAGCAAATGAATTTGGTAGAAATAGCTTGTCAGGTAGATTCCGAAATGGTTTGGAGGGGTTCCTTTACTTCATTTTATTTCAGTGACTGGAATGATTTTTCTACAGGAAACTAGAAATCATTTCACATTTTCAAACAGGCCACCAGCTTGGTCCTATCTGGCTGTTAGGATGAAAAAGCCGCGGAGGTGTGGAGGAGGATAGCCGCTACTGTCAGGGTCTTCCCATATTTCCTTTGCACTCGCCACTTCAGGACATGCCAAGGGCACACTTCGGCAAGCACCTGCACCTCTCTACCTGCGGGCTTGCGCTCAGCCTCTGCCTGAAATGGCCCTGAAGTTCCCGGGAGTTAATGTCTATAGAGACATCTGTCAGCCAGTGGGAGTGGGGAGTCAGGAGACAGAACAAAACTTATTTTTTTCCTTGAGTAGATAATAGTTGGGACAGTTTTTCCAGATGGACTGACTCCAAGCTAATCTCATAAACTAGCGACTCAAAAACAAATCCTTTATTGTTCCATTTTTTTTTTATATCTCCGTCCTACTTTTTCACTGGACAACAAGTAATATACAGGCTCCGGAATAACTTTCTACATAAAACACTTTCATGCTAATTCTCAGCTCACACTCGGATTTTGGGGAAGCCAGAAGGAGGACTGCGGTAAGTGAAAGTCTTTCTCAAAAGTAGAATGGGATTCTAGAATTGGATCCATCATTGATCTGAGTGTAACAAGGATACTGCCTATTGCTAGTAGAATGATCGGTAGGGATTAAGCCTGGAGTCACTTTATAATGCAAAGACTGTCATATAGAAAGATTTGGGGAGCTCTTCGGTGGCAAGCTAGAAGGTGGATTATATACTAGCTTTAGCACTTGCATTTGAAAGATACATCTTTGTGGCTATTGGTTGTTGCTTGTCATTCACTTGACTCGTGCTCAGAGAGGTGTGATGTATAGTAAGGACACGGCCTGGGCCTGCGCCATCTTCATGACTTTTGGTATATTTGATTCAATTGTGGTGCCTACTGTCCACCCATCTCATTTCTCTCAGTTTTACTGCCCTTTACTACTTTACCCAGCATGATGCTCTTTTCTTTTTCTTTGTGAAAATAAATCGTTTTATTGGGGGGCTCTTATAGCTCTCATAATAATCTCTACATCCATTGTATCTAGCATATGTGGACATATATTGCCTTCATCCTTTTCAAAGCGTTTTTTCTACGTGAGCCTTTGAAATTAGCTTCCCCACTCCACCCCCCCTCCCTCCGCCACCCTGCCACCCTCATGGACCCTGGGTAAATTATTATTTTCATCTCTTACACCATCCACTGTCTCTCTTCACCCATGTTTCTGTTGTTAGCCAGATGTTCTTTTCTAGTGGAAAAATGTGGCGATAATGATCCATATCATTAGACTGGTTGGGTATTGGAAAGTACCTTCAATTCACGGAAATAAGAAAATATATAAGGGATGCTTTCCACCCCACCGAATTGTGCCCCACCCAAATCTCAATAGTCCCAAGGTTGAAAGACCCTGGCTTGGCGTGGCCCTCACTGTCTGCAACCGGAAGCAGTAGGATCCTGCAACAAACACCTGTTCTTGTGGGGTCGTGCTGGCAATGTCAGAGATTTAATGCCAGTGGCCATTGAGGACAAACACCACAGCTTCTTTGCAATTTTGGCTGGAATAACTTTGAGGCTTGCTCTAGGCTGTTTGCCTGAGCCTCCCCTGTTAGATCGGATGTGATGTGCCCACAGCAGTGACCTGCCTGATAACGCAGCCATTATGGAGTTCTTTCTCTTCTGTGTCCTACTTTCTCACTTCTCTACTAGCACTTTTATTGACAACAGGAGAATTGGAGTTTAAAAGGAGGAGAGAACTTTAGCAGCAAAGAAAGAATGTTGCTGTTTTGTGTTTTCATTTTGCTTCAGAAACCAGTGGGAACTGAATTGGGGTTCTAAAGGCTGCTGAGAGGGAAGTCCTGGGAAAAGGCACCTCTGAAGTATCTGGTGGTCCAACGGTGGTGCAGCTTTGGTGTCAGTAGAAGACGTTTGAACTGTTGAAGGTTTATGTGCTTGGGGTTCCTGTCCACATTTCAGCGATGGGACATGCTGCAGTTCAGCGATGGGACATGCTCAAATCAGAGACGTGGATTTGAGTGCTAGCATACTGCTTTGTCTTGCTCCATACAAATGTTTTTAAGAGTTTGAATGGTAACAGGGTTCCATTTATAGAAGCAAAAGAGGCAGCCATCCACCAGACTGTAAACATTTAAAGAAAATGTGTGTAGCAGGCATTATTCAAAAGTATGCTTGTGAATGATTGACTTCTTCCCTGTGCCATACTTACCCACAGAATCTAAAGTCCATAGGTTAAATAAGGACGGGTGGCATCACATTTAATCTCCTTAATAAAAGGATATACATCTTCCGAGTGGTATGTGCGTGTGCATGTGTGTATACATACTCCTTTGGGTCTGCTTCTTCCCTCATTTCTTCCCTCATCACTCTCTTTGCTCCTACCCAACTGACCTTACTGCTCCCTGAACGGAAGTGCCATCGTGCGCCACCAAAGTTAACTTTACCCCTCTTTGTACCTAAAACCATTTCATCCCAGATCGCCACAAAGCATGCTTCATCACTTCATTCGGTTACTTATTCAAATAGCATTGCATGATTCGACAGAAACCATTCTTGAACCCACAATCTAACACAGCACCCACTGTTCCCCAATAACACTGTGCTTCACTCTCACCAGAACCTGCTCTATTCGTCGCTTATTATCCCCCCCTGCTAACATGTAAGTACAATGACAATGGGGCCATAGTCGGCTTTTTCACTGCTCCGTGCCCAACTCCTAGAACAGACGCCTGTACCTATGATGTGTTCAATCAATATTGTTAATGGACTCAAGCAATTGCTTTCAATGTGTCAGGCTTTGGCAAGGGAGCTAATATACATGTCATCTCATTTAAAATGGACAAAACCCAACTTAGATTTACAGATTGTTTAAAAATCTGAGGACTAGATTCATTAAGTAACTTGTCTAAAATTTTAGAGATTTAAAGCATTCAAGACATGATAGTTCTATATGTGGCTATGCAGATCACTCGAACAAAACAGAAAACCTTCAATGATATATGCGCACTCAAATATACCTATGATGATGCATAGTAAAGATGGCATTCATACTAAATGGAAACATTATCGAATAACTGGTAGCAGGAAAAACAGCTACTCCCATGGAAAAAAATATTATTATATTGCCATCTCACATCATGTAAAGTACAGCTGTAAGCAGCAAATTCTGAAAAATTTTGAGCATCCGGAGAATGGCTTCTCTAGGGTAGAATCCTTTGCATGAAAATGCTATACAAATTTGAAACCATAAAGAGAAAAGACTGATTAACTACATTAAAAAATTAAAATACACACTGATGATGACAGTCATCATCGATGACAGTCAAGTCATAGATTAGAAAAACTTCTCCTTGAAACATGTATATGATTAAAAATTAGAACTCATACAATGTAAAGAACTTCTTTTAACCAATAAGTAAAAGGTCAAATATCAATAGAAAAAAGGGAGAAAGTATAAGGAGGCAATTCACAGAAGGTGAATTTGGAATTTAGCTTATCTCAATGCCTTTGCTATCTAGTGCTGCTACAACAGAAACACCAGATGTTGATTTGGTGGCTTTAGGAAACAAATTTATTTTCTTACAGTTCAGGAGGCTGTCAGGCTAAATTCAGAACACCGGATTCTCTCTGTGTGGGTTCTGGGAAAAGGCCCGTGTCTCCCTTTAAAATCTGTGGGGTTTGAGTCCCTTTGAGATTTCCATGTGTCTATGTTCCATGGTCTCAATTTTCCCTGGATTCTAGGAGGGTCACAGTTCAGGGACCCTATGGCCAAAGGACATGTCCTACTCCTGCCTCTTCTTCCTTGTTGTACTAAGTTCTTCTCTCTGCTGGATTTCTCTGTCCTTTTAGAACATGTGACGCTACCCAGTAAGTGTTAGACTGCTAACAACAAGGTCAGTGCTTCAAACCCACCAGCCCCTCCAGGAGAGAAAGATGAAGCTATCTATGTGTTCCTGTAAAGAAGACTTGCATAGGGTTACTATGAGTAAGAACTGACTCAATGGTAGTGGCAATAGACCAAGTGTTCCGGGCACACCCCAGGAGAACTCCCTTAAAACGAATCATGGCTGTAACTAGATGAAGGGTTGTTGCATCCCATCCTTAATCTGCTTATTGGTTTATGGCATCCGTTCGTGGTGTGGAGGATAATGCTAAATTACTGAGAATCATGGCCCTGCTCAATCGACACATCTTTTGAGGAGACAGAATTCAATTGCTGACACTGAGCATGATTTATTTCAACATTGTTTACACTAGTATTTCTAAACAATCTATATGTCAATCAGCAGGGGAAAGGCCTGTGTTTGTTTCAAGACTGTGGTTACATGTGGTTAAGCACGCCACTAGCTGATGATTCAAACCCACCAGCTGCTCTGCAAGAGAAAAGACCTGACAGGCTCCTTCGGGACAGATTATAGCCTAGCAAATCCAATCGGGCAGCTTACACCTGGGGTTGCTATGAGTCAAACATCAGCTCAAGGGCATTTATCAACCCAATCATGATCAATGCTGATCTTACGTCCAGAATTTAAAAATAAACGTAATTAAAAAAAATACTGGTTTGGTTTCAGTTTTGGCACTTTGGCTAGAACAGTGCTCCGTGGTGTGATAGTATCCTGTCCACTGTGGAAACCTTCGCTTCCCAGCTACTCTCCTCCAGCATAAACATGATGGAACTTTCCAGACTTTCGTAAACTCCCTTCTTTTCACACCCTTCCTTTCACTGAATTTACCTTTTAAGAAGACTGGCTTAGAGGAGTCATTTACAGAATTAGGTATCTATTGACATGCTGTAGGGAAAGAGCCAAACGAGAAAGATGCAAGGTGGAAAATAGACGATGTGTTAAGAAAAATGTCAGTTGTCAAACTATGAGCGCCTCATGAACTAGCTAATGTATTTGATAAAATGCATAATGGTTAGTAAGGTAAAAACAATCATATGCTGTCAGGGGTCCAGGTGCATGCATGAACGGACTTCTTCCAAACCAACCACATTCACACATATCCCTGCATGCAAGTCCTCTCAGTGATGTCTTTGTATTAGGCTTTTTAGAGTGCCTTTTTTGGCCCAAAGGCAAAAAATAATAATGTTGAGGTCAAGGTTAATATCAAAATTTTAAGAAAACTCATGTGGACATCTTCCCAAATCATTAAAGCTTTGCAACAAGTTTATGTAAATGCTGTCCCACATAAAACAGTTTTTAGATGGAGCATTTGAAGGAAGGTCAGGAAAACCTAACCCTAATGCTGATCCCGACGTTTTTGTAACATTTAATTAAATGTATATATTAATATATATTGATAACTATGAAAGTAAAGAATAAAAACAAATTTTTTCCCGAAATTAAAAATGCAGGCGTTATAGGGCTAATAAATGAGCTGAGAGAGGGAAAACCGAAGACACGATGGTGCAAGTCCAGAAGAGGGTGGAGGCAAATTACAAAGTTACCATTGATGTGATTGCTACTGAAGCTGGGTTCTCACATGGTTTGGCATCTAAAAATTTAAGAGAAACACAGAGAATTCAGAACAGCTGATGCCTTCAGGACCAGTGGTGAGAGTGGCGATACCGGGAGGGTGGCGGGAGGGCGGCGTGGAAAGGGGGAACTGATGACAAGGATCTACATATACCTTCCTCCCTGGGGGACGGACAATCGAAAAGTGGGTGAAGGGAGATGTCGGACAGGGCAAGATATGACAAATTTATAATAATTTATAAATTATCAAGGATTCATGAGGGAGGGGGAGCGGGGAGGGAGGGGAAAAAATGAGAAGCTGATGCCAGGGGCTCAGGTGGAAAGCAAATGTTTTGAGAATGATGATGGCAACAAATGTACAAATGTGTTTGACACAATGGATGTATATGGATTGTGCTAAGAGTTTTAGGAGCCCCCAATAAAATGATTTTTTTAAAAAGAGAAAAAATTAAGGGGACATTTTGGCCTCAGCCATCTTTCAACCTGATGGATGGCCAAAAATGTTGCTGGAAGATCAGCTAGCTCAAAGAACTGATCTTTTGAGCCAGACTGAAGTTAGCGAAGATGATTTAATGGAACTCACTGTAGCTAGGGACAAGCCTCAAATTTCCCAGTAGAATCCAGAGAGCAAAATCTGTAGTATTAAATTAAAATGGCATTGGGGGGAGGTGGGGTGCCAGCCCCACCTGCTACTAGAACTCACTGGTTCAGTAATACTACTTCTGGGTTCAGTAATGCACAATTGTACGGTTGAGATATATAAGTATTATATTAAAGTTATCGAGAGCATGAGAGATATTACAATAATACAGTCAGACACATTACATGGTAGCATTGCTCACCTCAGCCCAGCTTGGTGGTCCACGTGGAGAGAGGGGGAAAGGAAGGAGGGCAAGGGAGCAAGGGAGAGAGGGGAAGGGAGAGGGGTCAGAGAGAGTCAGAGATCAGAGAGGTCAGAGAGCTCTATATTGCTGACCCATGCCTATATACCTTTTGGGGGCATGCCAGCCCACCAATGACAGGTAGAGACATACGTCACAGGGAGGGGCTGCACTATAGGTTACACAGCAATGAGGGGTGGTCTCTGGGTCTCCATAGGAACCATTATCAGTAGGGTGAAAACTCCGCCTACAGGAGCCTGTCCATTGTCCCGAGAGGCAGGGAGCAGGCCCACCCCTGTGGTGGGATGGGACAGCAGTCTGGCAACTGATTGTCCTCAGGGGGAGGAATGCCTACGCATCTGACCTCCCCCCACAAAAATCCAACCAAAACAGTGGCTTCCAAGGAACCTACTGGGTCAGGTAAATTCACCACAGAGGACCCAGCTCTGAAGGTTATTGTGACTTTTGGAGAGATTCCAAAGGGGTTATCCTAGTTTTTTTGTTGTTGTTTATTTTTTTTAAGGAAATGGCATGATCACGCAACTATTGTGAAGAAGTTTTTAAAAACTTGAAAACTAATTGGTGAAAGAAGTCCCAGGAAGTTGAGCTGGGATTCCTACTCCCCCATCCCCGCCCTCTGCCAATTAAGACAATGCAGTTGCTCATTCTGCAAGGATAGGATAGCAAGGGCTGTGCGATGAGAATTTTGGAGCCCTTTCCCCCATCCACCTGATAATAGCCCTCGTCTTGCCTCTTGACACTCCATTTTGGTCCCAAGAGTCAAAGAACTCTGCAAAGGAACCTGATGTGCGTCCCTTAAGGATACCAACACTGCTGTTTTGATGTGGTGTAGGCTAGAGAGAGAGAACCAATGCCTTAAGAAGTCTATAGACTTAGATGGAGGGCGTGCCAAGCAAAAATCGCTTTCCATTTTGCTGTCTGGGTTTGGTAAAGGTTGCTATGATATGGCAGTAATACTGAAACTATGGTCTGTAATAGAAGGTGAATTGCCAAGGTGATCAAATTATGGCCCTTTGCCCATAACAGAAAGGGGATTTCTAGGTTAAACAGTTTTCCATAGGAAAATAATATGTTTTGTTTTATTTGACTACAAGTGCAATAGAAAGCCCAACCAAAATCTCTCATTACAGTTTAAACTAGTGAAACATAAACATCATAAATGAAAATGACCGAATAAAGAGATGAAATATGATGGCATGGTGCTTAAACACCGTGATGCTTCCCGTGGTGCCTGCCAAATTATAGAACTATAGACAAACTGAAGACATTCTGATGAAAACTGTGATGGTGAATATTCTAGAAATATGATTGTTATGGTCAAAACACTGCATCAGGGACACAAAAGAGATGAGGTGATGCTCAGGGCTGGATAAAAAAAAGTGTAAAAACAGAATAACAGAACTCAAAATCCGGAGAATTGCAGAAGCCTAAATTGTGACGCTACACTGTTAGTAGGATTTCCCCACATGGAGGAGTAATACACAAAAGGGATCATAATAATGCAGAAAGTGATTGAAAAAATGGTGTGGAGGCCGAGTGTGACCTCCTTTGGCTACAGAAAGGAGAAGGAGAATTCCACTCCTCTCCAGCCCAAGGCTGATGGCTGCAGGGAGAGGTCAGGCAGGCCTCCCCCCTCCATCCTTCTTTATCTTATTGTGACGCCAATTGTCTCTCCCAGACCACTCTCCATCTCTACTGGGTTCAATGATCTGCTGCCAGGATCACACGGAACCCATACGTAACACTCACAATGATGTGGGTGTATTAGGGATTTTAACAGGTTGCAATAAATAAAGATTAGAAAACATTAAGGATACAGTCCATTTATCTGCAGTAGCACCTCTTCTCAGCATGCCTCTCTCTAGTTCTCAGCTTCCCTATCACACAGTCCCTTGACCTTGGCCCAGTTCTAGCAAGTGTAAAAAAGTTCCATTAGCGCTGATTAGTAGCTCAAAGGCCCTCCATTCTGCAAGCAGGCCTCCTGCCTCAAAGCAACTCAGCTTTACTCCTGTGGGCCAGGAAGCCTGCTGTGTTTCCCAGTCTCTTACTGCAGCCTCAGTGCCTCTGCTGCCACCTGAATTTGATACAGGCCCAACCCTTGGTTTCTATCCATGGGCCTTTTCACACTGAAGGCCTCAATCATTGAACTCGTCCTAAATAGTCATGAACCTGTCGTTCTTCAGTCTGGCAAAGAGTCTTAAGGGTGAGGTTACTCAGGTATCAGCCATTGAGGTCTGCTGTAGGCGTCCATTTGATGTGGTGAGATCCTTCAAAAGTTGTCTCAACTGCACCCTCCCTGCCCCGGCCATCTAAGCTAGGTTAAAGTTCCTAGGTTTGAGATCCACAGAACTCCGTAAACTCCCTCTCCTCTCTCTAACCCCGGGTTCTTCAAACTGCGGCTCTCAAGCTGTGTGCGGCTCTTTTGGTACATACTGCGTCTCCGAAGTAAAATCGAAACATTTCAAGGATATTAATCAGCTAATGGTGATTTCATTTGTTTGTAAAAATATAGTTATTTATATTTTAAAAATGTATTTTTAAGTTGTTGTGAGGGGTAGGATTAGCTCTTCCTTCTCAAAATGTTTGCCAACTTCTGCCCTAGACTGTAGGGTCACTAAGAGTTGGAATATACTCAATGGCAGTGGGCAGTGGTGAGCTTTAAATGATGTAACAACCAATTCAGTGCCCAATGACCATTTTTAATATTAAAAACCCAATATGCCATAAGATAGTTTATTATTTCATACAATTAATGCTAAGTAGGAAGAAGTGCACACAACTAGATTATGTCATAAGAAAACGTTTTAAAATATAAATGAAAAACATTACATAATACCTGACAAAACAATAAAACTATGATTTAAGATATTTCCATATTGCTTCTTGATTGGCATCCTCACTTGCCATTTTCTTCACTTAGATCCGACCATCGTCGCTGCGAGATTTCTCCGTAACCATCTTTTCATCCGATTGCACTGGAATCCCATTCATTTAGAGGTAGGCCAATCAGACGATAGTCATTGTGTTTGTTATATCAAAAACTGGTGACTTCTCTGAATATGTGTTCACTTTTGAAAAGCCTCTTTCCGCTTCTGTTGAACTTACAGTGTTCTGACCATTTTTTTAGCTCTCTGCACAGTTTCAGGAATTGCATAATATACTTATACCTCATGGGAATTTGGGGCATAACACAAAGCTGAAACGGGTAACAGCACGCCACCCTCTGGTTGTTTGGCACTTTTTCACTTTATTTTATATGTTTGTTTATTGAAGTAACAAAAGCGAGGGAAGAGAAATGTAGTAATTCATCAAAAGCATAATGAGTTCTGGAAATGAATAAATATTACAAGCATAGTTTCGTCTGATTTTTATACCTATAGACGGAAGAACCTTACTATGGGCGCTTAGAATAATAATACACTGTTGAGCGGATGAACGGCTTCTGTAATGGCTCAAAGGATTTTCTCAAGAAAAACTCATTGACACTGAGTCAATGCCGACTCACAGGGATCCTATAGAACCGGGCAGAACTGGTTCTTAATCTCCAAGACTGTAACTGTTTACAGGAGTAGAACCATCTTAACCCAGTCCTTCTCCCTGGTAAGGGCCGGTGGTAGAGTAAGGAATGTGAATTATTGGGTTTTGCTGAATGGCTGAGAACCACGGACAGTGGGGAATTTAGACTGTAGCCTTCATATGCATATGGACTTGGGCTTCTCACTGGAGGATTCCCCCAAGCTCTGGTCTTCCATCAAACACTGTTTAACCAGTCTGGCTTTTATTCCAGGCCACTCCAGAAGCAGTTTTTTTCCTCCTTAGCATCAGTTTAGTAAGTCTGAAATTCCTTTAGGAGCTCTGGGGGTGGTGTGGTTTTCCATTGGGCTTTGATCTGCAAGGTGGCAGTTCAAAACCACCAGCCCTTATGAGGGAGACAGACCGGTTTAGATGGTTCTACTCCCATAAACAGTTACAGTCTTGGAGATTAAGAGCCAGTCTGTCCAGTCCTACAAGGTCACTGTGAGTCAGCAGGGACTCAATGTCCACGAGTTTTTCTTGAGAAAATCCTTTGAGGCATTGCAGATAAAACCCACCAACGTAACCATTTAAGAATCAAAGTAACTTCTCCTGCCCTGAGGTGGTTTTTCTCACAAAGCCCTGTGCTTTCTGGAGTCTGAAGACATTGCAACGCCTCCGCTTCTGACGCCAACTGAAGACACCGTGTGGAGGCTGAGGCTTCTCTTTTGGCTACACAAGGGGGCAGAATTCAACTCCACACCAGTCCACGACTCATAAAAACCAGCAATTGGTTACATGTGGCCCCCACACCATTGCTTCAGTGTTACCTGAGCTAAAATGTACTGACTACTAAGGTAGTTTAGGGGCTTAAAAGTGATCATGGGTATTTATAAGAATAAGGGAAATTGTTGCTTGGTTTTCTTTAACCTGGCATTGGTTGGGCATGGCTTGGTCGTCCTTGCTTATTTTGTCCACAGAGTGTAAGGTGACCTATAAGTATATAATGGCATGTGCTTTAAGTTATCCATCTTGCCACAAAGTTGCACTTGAACTAGTCATGGAAGGATTAAAGAAAGCATAATATTTTGTGGCCTACAACAGGACAGTGCCTGAATTTCTTGATATTTTTGTATATGATTCTTTCCAGTTCCGGTACTAATGTAATTCTTAGAGACAATACCCAAATAGACATTTGCTTGAAGATTCCAGCTACTCATTGTTTGAAAATACCAGCCACCTAATTCCCTGACTTCCTGTTTACTGATTTTGACATTTTCTCAAAGCCCGGCACATATTCCAGGCTCACTGCCATTGAGTGGATTTCAACTCATAGTGACTCTATAGGGCAGAGTAGAACTGCCCCCCGTGAGTTGTCGAGACTGTAAATCTATATGGGATCAAAAAGCTCATGAGTGGCTGATGGGTTTGAGCTGCTCAATTTGTGGTTAGCAACCCAATTCGTAACCAACTATGCCATACCATAATTGTTTTACTGATGTCTGTATCGATTCCATAATCTCATTCCCATGAAAACATTTTGATCACTGTCTTCTTTCTTTCCAATTTATTCCATCTTCTGACCTGATCTCCAATATTTGCAGCTGCATAGGACTATTGATCAATTGACTCTCTTCCTTTGCCTATTGCTTTACCCCTCAATCCCTGATTGCATCCTTACCCAGGCTAGCTGCTTTCACAAGCACTTTCAGTCTCTTTGTCCCATCTGTCTTCATTGTACTTACCTACTTTATGTCTACATCCATAGCAGCTGAACGAGAGTAGAAAAACACGCAAAACTTGATAAAATGGCATACATGGATCTTTACTTGAGTGAGGACTCAACATTAATGGAAAGAAGGAAGATTGGAGACAGTTTATGTCTAAGGAGTCTCAAAAGCTGAACCCTGTCCCCATATAGCATGTGGACAACATCTGACATGATCAAATGCAAAAGAATTTAACTCACTGCCTTTGAGTCGATTCTGACTCATAGTAAGCCTATAGAGCAGGGTAGAACTATCCCGGTGGGTTTCTGAGACTAAATTTGGGGGGGAGTAGACAGTCTTATCTTTCTTCCCAATGCAAAAGAAGGGGAACAATTCAAATATAATAAATGCATCGATTTTACCACTTAATCAAAAAAAGTATCTTTGATTTGCTATTAATTTTTTTACTTGCACAGAAATCCATCAAGATGTAGTTTTCCTACTTTCTTAAATAAGAGTTCCATATCTTTTTTCTCTCTTAAAAAGCTGCCCAGGTGGTGCAGTAGGTTAAGGGTAAGGATGCTAACTGAAAGGTTTGCAGTTCAAACCCACCAGCTGCTGTGCAAAGATAAGGCAGTCTGCTTCCATAATGATTTATAGCCTCTGAAACACTGTGGACAATTAATTCTACTCTGCCCTCAAGGGTCCCTTTACATTTGAATCAACCCAAAGGCAGGGTTTTTCCTCTCATCTCAAAGTTAGGAATAGTTCTTTGCATTTATTTACTTGCATTTAATGCCCTTTCTTTTCATTACCTGATGAAATAAAATATAACAACTTGTGCCAGCACGTGCATCAATCTACCTTCATGTCAAACATATCCTTTCCCTCCCATCCTATCGCTAACAAAGGATGGTCTCTGATCCTATCCAGGGCTGACCCTTAGACTAATAAATTGTCTCCCATATGTCTTACCTACTTAAGAACATCACTCTCTGCTCTTTTTTGAGATTCCTTCTCTCTTGGATATGTTCTGTCGGCACATGAATAAGTTGTCTTATCTCCCAACACAAATGAGACTTCTTCCCTTAACCTTACATCCTTTTATAGTTACTTCTACATTTCTGTGTTCCTATGTATAGTAAAATCCTCAAAAATCTTTATACTGCAGTTGCACTGTTCAATAGATGAAAAGCAATACGTTTGTGTGAAAAGTTCACAAACTAGTCTTCCTAGCTTAACAGTCATAAAATCTTTTGTGGTAGGAAAGGTTAAGGCAAGCATGGCTGAACGAATTTATGAACAATATCCCACAAAACCAGTTATATGCAAAATAATATGCTCTAAATATCATCTTAAACTGATATGTACAAAATTAACTGTACAAGTGAAATGATGTTTTTATGAAATTCTTATAGCCATTTTGTTCTTTCAATTATCAATATGATTCTGAGTATTATTCATATGGTTTAATTATATTATGTTTCTTGTTTTCAATCATTTTAAAAGCGTTCAGTTGACATTAAACATAGGAAGTATTTGAGGATGTTCATAAGCCATTTTTTCTATAATCAATACCAAGAATATTGCTGCAAATAATTTTTCTGGGTAGCTAAAGTATTGTGTGCTTTTCCTCTTCCTAGCAATAAAGCGCTATTGAAGCATTATCATGAGCAGAAATGCTGACTCTCAGTGCCTTTGGAAATACCGCACACTCTTGTTGCTATTCAGAGTTCACTTGAATGTCGACTTTCACATGTGTAAAAGATAAAAAAAACAAAACAAAGATATTTTTCAGTATTGATTATATTTTAATATTTTAGAAAATGATAAGCATAGTAGAAGAAAGTGTTTGCTAATCTTCTAACAGATAAAGGAAGGGAAGAGATAATAGGGAGTATTCAAATGAACAAAAGTTTAACATCCAAATTTTCAATCCTGATTCATTCCTAAATGGACTCTAGGCAGGTAGTCCCAAGGTTACCAACGCCTGACTTTGTACAACCCACACATAGTAACCAACCCCTGGAAAGCTTACTGTTTTAAGACTTTGAGATACATACAGTGGTCCATAAGGACAAATGGTTGCTGCTTTGCAATACCCAGCAAAACATTACTATTATTATGATAAAGGTGTTTTAGTGTGTCTGAAAGTGTTTAATATATCTTACGCATAGAAAGGCACACTTTATACACGAAGCCCAATATCTGACTTACTGACATTAGATACAAATTGGACCTAACTCTTCTGACTCTGGACATTTCACCTTAAAGACACATTGGGAAATGGAATTCATTCATAATCTGAAATGCTAATATCTTTTCCTTGCAGTGCTTGTACATTTCTTATGAGGATCAGTTTCATTCAACAGCCAATTTCTAGGGAAGATTATGTAAGAAAGTGAGAGATTAAAATCAGGCTAAATGTTAACGTTGGGTTAAAAGGCCAAAATAAATACTGAAATTATGCCTGGAAGACATTAGAGTGTGATTTAGTTAGTAAAGAAAAGAAAAGAAGTAAACTCTGAAAAAGGGAAAACAGCTATAAAACTAATGAGTGTTTTACTGAAAACATAAGGTGTTTTCTCCTCCCATTCGCATACTGTGGAAACAAGCTGCCTCTCAATGAAAGTGAATCACATTGCACTTTAGACTGATGAACAATATAGTTCTTTATGCAGCACACAATCAAGCTGTGGAATGCAATTTTGCATGTATCATTGTGGTAAATAGTTTAGCAAAATCCAGGAAAGCATTCAATGTTGCTATGAATAA